TTTTTTTTTTTTTTTTTTTTTTTTGATAAGGCATAAAAGAAACTCATTCCTTACATCAACTGTAATTCCATCATTCCATGTCTGTTGATACAGACAATAAAAAATGTTGTGTAGTCAGTACTAATTACTGACATTATAGCATTCTCAAATGCAATAAAAATGCTGGTTGTTCACACTGGTAATGCAAGTTGCCACCTCCTACGTTTGTGTTTGTTTTCTTCCCCACCCAAACGACCCTCGTTTCGCCCCAATCCCCAGTCAAAGATGGGTTGCGGGGGGAGCTAATCCTGCAAATCCAATTTAGGCAGGATGGGTTGGGATCATGCTCTAGATGCAGCAAAACAGAGGGTGCAGGATGGACCCGTTAGTCCTCCAAGGCCTGAGTAATCACAGACCAAGACACCCTGTCACCTTAGCCAAGTTCATGGGGAGAAACCCCTCGTCCCAGCTTGCTTTTGAAGTGAGCACACGTTTATTTTCTTCCCTGAGTTTTGTAAAGAAAAATAAGATGTTTAATAACTAGCATTAGCAGCAAACTAAAATTTCAGAGGAGCGGTTTTCATGAATAATTCATTAAAATTTCACATCTGCAAGATTAGTCATCCAAATAAAATGCTAATGTCAAAAACATGCACCGTCTATAATATTCTCATCAAGAAATCTTTTTGMATATAATGATAAATGCTTAAATTAGTACAAATGATTTTATAAAAATATTCTATCATAAAATTATACCAGATAACTACCTTTTTTGGGGGGGGGGAAGGGTAGGGTGGGAGGAGGGAATCTTTGTACCCTCATTGTGCATGTCCAAATGGTATTGACCAGTAAATTTTGATGGGATCAAACATTTGTTTTCACTGTGTMTTATACTTCTACTGCTAGCAAAAATTTAGCAAACTTAAGTTCAGCAAATTTAAAACTGTTTGAATTAAAACTGGACATTTTTAAGGTGCATCTGAAGACTTCTTCTACAGGCAGGAGCTGGTGCCTCCTCTTGATCTTAAGGAGGCTCTGGCCTCCACTCTTTCTGAGGAGCTTCTTCCCACCTGATCAGGTCTTCCTCACACCTGGGTCTTGTTAATCCTGCTTGTCCTGTCATCAGTGAGGGTGCCAGGTGGTTGTTTAGTGGCGTGTTAATCAAGGCCAACTCTCACCATGGTTGGCTACAGACGTACCCCAGCCCCCAAGGTATCCATGGCCATTGTGGAGGGTCTGTGTCCACCTTCATTTGGAAGTCCTGCTRCTTTTCCCAGTTTTAATCCTAGTGTTAGCCTCGTTTTATTAGCTTGATTAAATATTTGAATAGCTAGAAGTGATTGGCACTATCAACTGGTGGTATTAA